TGTTTTTCATTCTAGAAGTCTATGGGTTAGACAAACGAGCTGTGGGATTCTGAAGAAATAAAACTATTCCTCTGAACCCTCCCCAGCACACACAGCCTTCCTAGGACCAAGTCAGGGAAGGATAAATTTAACTGTGACAAAAAGTGACAAAAAGAAAAAAGTAAACAGCTCAAATGACCAAACACACAGCAGAAGCCCTCACTCTCCTAGCAGAGCACATGGCCACAGTACTAAGGCTCCTGGGACCTCGTCTTGGCAGCTTTCCAAGGACTCTAAGTCTGCATCAGCACACTTGAAGAGCTTTGGCTAGAGTCGCTGCGAGAAGGTCATTCGGAGGAAGAGCATCTTCATCTCCAGCATCAGCTCTAGCCACGGTTCTTGGTAGATGCTGGATAAATACTAGGACTGGAGAGATGGCTCGATAGATAAAGTGCCTATTGTACAAGCAGAGTTCAGATCCCCAGCACCCACATAAAAGGCCAGGTCCACTGACACATAGCAACAGGTGTGCAGTGTATAGATCACTGGTTCCCTTGAATCACAGGTGAACCATCTTAGCTCAATCAATGAGCCCCAGCTTCTCAAAAAATGGGGAACGATTGAGTAAAAGATCTACTCTACATCAACCCCTGACCTCTACAGGGATGTACACAGACACACGTTGTGTGCATGCATGCGCGTGCACACATGCACACAGACAGACAGACACACACACACACACACACACACACACACACACACACGGGGTGGGGGTAGCAATATGGACGAAGCATATCAAACAGTGTTGGGATATGACCTAGATTAGGCATTTATAAACCTAGTGTAGTGCCTGCAATTCCAACATTTGGGAGGTGGAGGCAGGAAGATCAGTTCAAGTCAAATCTAGACTACATACATAGTGAGCTTCCGGGCAGCCTGGGCTACATGAGACCCTGTAGGGAGAGCAAAAAATCAAAACTATGCAAAACTTCAAAGGAGATCATTATTCAACTCAAAACATAAATTTAAGAATATAGCCATCTCTTCTGGCTATTACGAGTGACTCCACTTCAAAGCAGTCATTAATTTAAAGGCAGTCTGGTAAAACCTGCACTGACGAGTTCCAAACATTTCTTTCCCACTCAGACCCCTCACCTGTCACCCACAAGGCTATTCCATGCCCCCCTTCCAATACCTGGGTTCTGAAATTTGATGGGTTCCTCCCATCAAAACTACTCACTGCTTTGTTTGCCCAGCACCAGGAATCCCCTCCCTACACATTTGCAGTCATCATAGAAACTCCAGAGAGAATGCTAGCTAGCAGCACAGGCCTTCCTAAGACCCATTACCAAAGCATTGGCACAGGCTGTGTCACTTTGGGGACCTGCCATTCACCACCACTCCCAGGCCAGGGCAAACTGGGAGAAATAAAGCCAGACCCAGTGCACTTCAATTCTCTCAGGAATGGGGTTACCTGTGAGGATACTGATTGGTGACAGAGGGTACCAAATCCCCAACACAGATCTTCCAGATGACTGCCCTTGTGACTTCACTGACATTTCCGGATTGCCACCTACCCGCCTCCCAAAATGTAACTCTGAGGTGACACAGAGCCTCAGTCATAGAGTATTTCCCATGCAAGAATGGGGACCTGCATTTGGTCTCCAGAACATAGGTTAAAGAGAGCCTATGATACTGTAGTGTGCACCTGTAATCCCAGCAATGGAAAAAGAAGGCTAGATCCTCAAAGCTTGCTGGTTAGCCAGGCTAGCCTACTTAGAAAGTTCCAGGCTAGTAAGAGAGCCACAAAATCAAAAAAGAGTATGATGCCTGAAGAACACCCGAGTTTGTCTTCTGGCTTCTCAGGAACACAACACGCGTGCGCGCGCACTCTCGCACGCATTGGCAGAGACACAATGGCAGAATGACATCGGGAAGAACATGTGAGTAGCCACTCTTCTGGGACAAGCCCCTCAGCTGTAATTGCAGGAGATTGTGGCATTTCCACACTTAGGAAGCCAGCTGGGCACAAGGCTGGTAGGTTCTTTTGAGATTGAGGAAGTTGAATGGGAAGGAAATCTGAATTGCTCTCAACTCTTGGGGTCCCTTCCAGCTTCCAGCATCTCTGTGAGAACACTGCGGATGCACAATCCATATGCACATGTTCTCTATAAAAACGTATATGGATGTGTGAATATATAATGAGCACAGTGTTCACACTTCTACACACAAAGCGCTGGAAATGTGCACGATGCTCAGGAGGCGATCCAAAGGCTCAGAGAGCTTCGCTGTGGCAGCCACTAGAGTTCAAAGACAGCCATCCTCAAAGGGACCAATGCTCCTGCCATCTCAGGTTACCTTAAATTCAGCCTGTGGGAGAACTGGGGAGGTGGCTTCATGAGGAAAGCACTTACCTTGCAAGCATGAGGACCTGAGTTCTATCCCCAACACCCACATAAGCCTATAAAACCCTAGCACTCCTACAGGAAGATGAGAGACAGACAAGAGACTCAGCTAGGTCTCTGCTGGCATAAGCAGCAGAAAAAAAAACAAACAAACAAAAATAAAAGCCCAAACAACCCAGAGCCTGTCTTAGATAAGGTTGGAGGCAAGGACAGGATTGAGACTTGAGGTTCTCTCCGTCTCTCTCTGTCTCTCTCTCTCTGTCTCTCTCTCTCTCTCTCACACACACACACTTTTAAAATTAAAAAAAAAAATAAGGCACAGTGACACAGGCTTGTAATGTCAGTGCTATGAAGGAGGAGTCTGATGTCAGACCAGCAATGGGCCTAGTTCCAAGCCAGTGAGAGACCCTGTCTCAAAAAACCAAACCCAAGGTGGACAAAACCCGAGGAACGACAGCTGAGGTTGTCCTCTGTCCTCCATATGCAAGGACACACACACACACACACACAGAGAGAGAGAGAGAGAGAGAGAGAGAGAGAGAGAGAGAGAGAGAGAGATTTTTGGATAGGTACAAAAGTTCCAGGCCCCGATAGACTCCTTTATTCTGACTCCAGCCCCCAGTGTCCCAAACTAGGAAGATAGCCTGGAAGGAGAGAGACACAGGAAAGAAATTACTTAAGCCTGTTGCCCAGACATTCAACTGGACCATAGACAGTTGCTAGAAACAGAGACTTCCTCTTTCTCTGTCCCTAAAAATTTCTCCCCACTTTCCCTTCCTATTTCCAGTACTCTCCATCAAGTAAGTCGATCACCTGGACATTAAGTTGACAACAGAATACTAAAATGTTCTCTAAAAGGGGGAGCTTTGTTCTGATGCTAACAGAATCACACTTAAGCCTGCTCATCTCAGCTCTGAGTAATAGCCACAAAATGATTTGGAGGAACTAAGGGAGGGTGGGAAAACTCATAAAAGACAGGTATCAGATGGTTTGACTTTCTTGGCTGAAACAAATGAGCCCATCTGTCCTAGCGACAAAGGGTCTCCCACAAATCCAGGGTGAGAGATCCCACTGTCTTAACAAGGAACTTAGGGTAGGTCAGCCAGTGAATGTGCTTTCTTCTAAGACCTTAGTAGATTCTGATTTGATGCAACCTTAGATCCAGTATGTCCAGTATGTTTACAGGTGTGGTTTTGCTGTTCCACCAGAAAACCCACACAAACCTCAGCATGCTGCTTCCCAACTCCAGGGCCCCAGAGGAACCTAGGACCATATACAAACACCAAATCAAGGCCTGGCTATTAGTGCCAGGAGTTGCTGAGCTGTAGACCTAGATCAGGGCAACCTCAGCAAATCAAAAGGCATCCTCTGGGACACACACACACACACACACACACACACACACACACACACACACACACACACAGAGAGAGAGAGCTCACGGGTGCTCCAAAAGCCAAAAGCCACTGGGGGAAAAAAAATGCAAGCGCCACCCCTTCCCTCTTCCTTGCAATGGCTTTGTGTGTGACATCCTCAGTGAGCGCGCGAATGTTGCCGGGCTCACACACCCCCTTCCACCCAACCTGCTGGCGGCACAGTCAACGCTCTCGCGACTGAGCGCCCTGCGTGCCCTGAAAGCGGGTCCAGCTGGCCGAGCGACAGTCACCAGGCCTCTGATCCTCCACCCGCAGGGAGCAGGGGTATGACATCCACGCCCCCGTCTCCAGAGGCCAGGGTGGCTCTGGAAAGCAGAACCCTGATGCCCGCCTGTCACAGGCTAGTCAGAGACCTGGGGGAAAGAAAGGGTGGACAAGAGGGCACAGAGATCCCCACTCACGCACCCCCTACCCCCTATTTAGCGAGGTACGGCTCCAAAGGGGACCGAGGCGGCTGGCCTGGCGACTCGGCAGGAAGTTCCCAGGACCGCACTGAGCATGCTCTAGGGGAGTGTGTACGCGGGTGTCGGCCCTCGCATCCCGCAGCCTCAGCTATCCCCCAGCCGTGGGTGCACGCCGGCTGGATCGCGGTCGGGCTGGCGGTCCCCAAGGCTATCTGGGGTCGGAGGGGGGGTCTCCCTGATCTCCCAGCCTGGAGCTTCGGACCTTCTCATCTCTTCTCCCCAGGGCCCCGGGGTCCCGCTCCTTCATTCTTCCTACCAACTGGCTCAAGGCATATCCCACTTAGAGCTCCCGGATCCCCAGGACCCTAGTCCGGCCCACGCTGGCATCCTGATTCTATCTGGTTTCACCACGATCTCAGTGTCCAAAATGCCAATCTCAGCTTCTCGCCTCCAGCCCACGCCACCCGAGCCCCCTCTGGACAGTTCCTTGAGAGACCTAGAGAGGGTCTTCAGGGTCCCGTGAGGGGGGATGCCCCGAGCAGGTGGTGGACCCTCCAAGCTCACCCCTAGGTTGTACTCTGGGGTTCCCACCCCCGTCCCAGATCAGACGCGGCCAGAACACCCACGCCGCCCCGGGTGTCAGCGCTGGGCCGGATAAGGGCTGCTTCAGCTCCCTTAGCGGCCCCCACGCGGCCCCCGCGATCCCCAGTGCAAGCATCTCCTCGGGGGAGATGGCGAGCTCTGAATCGATCGCCCGACCCTGCAGCAGCTCATACCTGCTAGTAGGGAAGCAACAGAAGCACCATCAGCAGCATTCGGGGTCACTCTCCAACAGCTGTGCTCTGGGGGGGCAGGGGGGTCCCAGGCGCAGCCAGGAGCGGGGTCACAGCGCCCCCAGAGCCTGAGGCACCGCTACCTGGACTGGATCGAGGCTGGGGCCGCCGCCGCCGCCACCGCGGGAGCCGCAGGGCTGCCGGGCGAGCGGGCCTCGGCAGGGACGGTCTGCAAACTACCAGCCCTGGCGGGGCCGTGCGCAGCGCGTTCACCGTCCGCCCCTAGACGCAAGCAGGGACGTTCCTCCTGGGTCCAAGCGACAAGGACGAGCGGAAAGGAAATCTGATCGAGGTTTCTACCGACCCTTCCCTGCTCGACCTCCCTAACTTCTCTGGGCTCTGAGCTCGCGCTTTTCTTCTAAGCAAAGGGATTCCGGGCCAGGGACGTTCTGCAAATTCCCCGCCCACTCTGGCAGAGCGCTCAGCCAATTCTGAACGCCCCAGCTTCTCGGGGACCGTCTGCAAACTCTAGACCCTGTAAGAGAGGACTTGAAGCCGCTCTATTCCGCATCCCAAGGAGAAACAGACAGCGAGTTTAGACTGAGGGAGTTGGGACCATAAATACTATTCTCAAAAGGTCGGGGGCAAGGTAAGATTACTGATACAGATCGTGCATATTCCAGAAAAAAATGTTCTCTGGGCCTCTTCAGGATAAGGGCCTTCCAAAACTGAAGCCAGTGGGGTTCCTGGCAACTTTATATGAATTCCCTTTTCTACCTTATAGAATAGATTGGCAGAAGCAGTAGACATTTCTATCCCTTATCTTTTTTTTTTAAACTGAACAGAATTGTATGTATTTATTTGGTGATTTTATTTATTATTTATTTATTTATTTATTTATTTATTTGGATTGGAGGGGAGAGGGTGTTCTCACCTGTCCTATACTGGCCGCATACTTGCTTTGTAGCCAAGATAATCTCCAAGTCTGGATCCCTTTGCCTGCATCTCTCCTTAGAGCAAGCATCAGACGCCACACCCTTGGTTTTATGACCCTGGGCAAGCCACTTATCCAGCTCCGCTCAGCAGCTCAATTGATGAGAGTAATAATGGCTGCTTCATGAAGTTATTGTGAAGGTGGGATGAAATATTTGTAAAGGATTTGGCAGTGACTGGTCCACAGTAGGCACACAATTTTTCTAATGTAGTTCTTTCCTCTGCCCTGTCTGCGTTTTTATGAGCAGCCTGGACTGCTTAACTCGGGTGCTGTTGTAAATTCGAAAAGAAATAAAAGGCATCCCCTGCCCTGAGGGCACTATAATGAAACACTGGCTAGCATAAAATATTAAATCAGCCTGCCCCTGCCCTCCAGGGAGCACCACACTTTTACATCGTGGAGCATTAGAGATCCTGGTTAAGTGTTATCTGGAATGGAAGGAGGGTGGACTAGTGAATTACCCAGGGTGTAAATAACAGGAAGTCCTACTCCTGAGAGCAGTCACACTATGCAGTCACAGTGTAAGGGTTTTTACCCTGCAGACTTTCTTCATCCCTGCCTCCCAGCCTCCCAGGGGTCTTCACTCTTGAGATAACTTCACCCCAACTTGACCCCCACTCATTTAAAACCTGGGACTATGGAACTTCGGAATTTTTTAACTCTAGAAAATTGGGCCACGCAAGCAGTGTGTGGGCTCTTGACTCCAGTGGCCTTGCATGGAACACACCTGTGGTATTGTCTCATTCATGGAGCACCCTGGGAATATACACAAACAAAATCAGCCCTCCCCTTAACATCCACCTGGAGGGAAATACTGGGCTGTCATAAACTGTCCAGGTGGCATCCAAGGACAGAGAGGAAATCTGGGTAGGCAGGATGATACCCTAAGAGAGGACCTCTCCTGGAAACCTCAGGAACAGTCTGAGGCACTACTCTGACTCCCTAAGAGAATGTCTCAAGAAAAATGGTGACATCTGGTGGCCAGTACTTTCTGTGCTTGGTACAGATTCTAATCATAATAGATTCCTTTGAAGTTCCCATGAATGGTTCCTAACTGTATCAACCCGGTTATCTGAAAGAAATGTCACTTAAACTTTATGTACTTTATTCTACATAGTTATTTCATATTCTTTAACCCAAAGCACATATACATATAAAGAAATAAAGTATGATATAAATAAAATGCATAAATTCATGTATACATATACATATTCTCTGTCTTATCTATCCTACTTACTCACAAGTATATTGCATGTTCTTTGGGAGACATTATTATTATTACTTCAATTGTTCTTCCTATGGAGCAAAGGTGATAATTTCCTGGAGATAAGGAGAAGCTTCAGTCAGTAGAGTACTTGCATGTATGAACATGAAGACCTGAATTCTATCTCCAGAACCTACATTAAAAGGGCCGGGCTTTGTGGCGCATGTGTGTAATCCCAGTGTTGGGGAGGAAGAGAACTGTGGATCCCTGGAGCCTGCTGGCTGCCCAGCTTAGCCAAATTGGAGAGTTCCCGGTAAAAGTGAGTGATCCCATGTAGCACAAATTCTAATAGGCCTTAATAATAAAAGCCCAGAGTCAGATATTGGAGTGGGGGAAGCTGGAAGATCAGAGAAGCAAAGCAGCTAGCCACTAGCTCTTACCTCTCTCTATCTCAGACTGAAGGGGTTCTAGCTTTCACACCCTAGTGTCTGAGTTTTTATTGTTAAGACCAAGTAGAATTTGGGCTACAATCCTGTCTCAAAAAACAAGGCCATCTGTGTAATGACACCTAAGCTTGACCTCTGATCTCCACAGGAATGTGAACACACAGACAGTAATATATTATCTGTAATATATAATTGCAAAAGGACCCTCCCTTGCAGAGAGGAAGGTGATAATTAGAATGGGGTGATTCTGTCTCTATTTCATATCTATGTATCCCTGAGAAAGTATTTACTCCAAAATTAGGAACAAATTTGGGTTTTTCATGGTGAAAGCCTTCCAGCCAATGGCCGAGTCTGATAAGGGGAGTGATCTCTCTACCATGGCCATCACTCATGAACAATGGGTGTGTTACATGCGTACATGTGTTTGTCAAAACTCTACCCCTTCCTTGCAGGGCACCATCGACAAACCAAAGTCCAATCCCACCCAAGACTACCTTGGGAAATAGATGAGTTTATTGGGCTTACTTCAGTCAACAGGGTGCTTGCTTGTATGAATGTGGAACCCTGAATTCCATTCCCAGGACCTATATGAAAAGGTGATTTCAAATCAGCCACACCACAGCATGGATGGTGATTTCCTCATAGTTATACAGTCTGCATATAACATGCCAGTTAATCTTCTATAATCTTTTGGCCCAGAGGACCCTGTGCAATTGGGGCAGAATTGCATGCATTCTGGTTTCCTTCTATTGCTATGACTAACATCATGACCAAAAGCATCATGGGGAAAGAGTTCATTTGGCTTACACAGTCAGCTCACAATCAATTACTGGGGGAATTCAGGCAAGGGACTCAAGACAGGAACCATGGAAGAATACTACTTGCTGCCTAGCTCTCTGGCTTGATCACAGACCTGTGTTACCCAGGGTTGGTGCTGCCCACAGTGGCCTTGGCCCTCCAATATCATTTGTTAAACAAGACAATCTCTCAAATTCATGACAGCAGGCCAGGCCAGTCCAATTAAGGTTCCCTATTTCTGGAATGCATCAAGTCGACAGTAACAACCAACTAGCACACTACATATACATGGATACATCCTGTTTGAAGATTCAGGAGGGAGTGGCGGGAATCTCAAGTGGGGAATCCCTCTTTCTATGAGGGATCCCCAACAGTCAAAAGGGCTGATCTCAGAGGTCTCTTGCTAGGAGTCACAGCTGCCCTGTCGAGGTTGGTGGCTAATAACAGCCAGCACAACAGGAGGCTAGAATGTTACAAGGTGTCAGGTAAAAAGGATGATGGATGTCTTGGATTTCTTCACATCATTACTAGTGCCTGTTGCCAAGTCATTTTGAATTATATTGCTCCACATATTTGTTTCAGGTGCCATATGGTAGATAATTGTTCAGTTATCAGCATAAGTAAACACACTCTGTCCACATAGCTCTCCATTGTTTTCTAACCTATGTGGATTATGTTTATTGTTATAACACTTTATGGGACAGAGCTTATTGTATGAACACTATTGACAAGGAGCCTAGTCAAGACTAAATCCAAAATCAGCTTGTTTCCAAAGCCTGGAATCGTCTATGCCTTGCTGCCTACATTAGACAACCAGGAAGAGATGAAGAACGGAGCAGAAACTGAAGTATATGTGATATACATAAGCCACATGTCTTGGCCTATTGGAATATCAAGTAATAACAATTGTGCTCATAAAATGTATAAAGCTTCATCCCATGTGTCAGTCTTAGATCAGGACTCCATTGGGTACCATCAGTACCCCTAGGACAACATGTGTGTCGTGTGTGTGTGTGTGTGTGTGTGTGTGTGTGTGTGTTTTGTTGTAGTTTTCCTGCCTGGACTTGAACCACATTCTGCCTAGAGGAATTATCTACTGTTTGGGGAAGGCAGAATCTCTGCTGGTGAAGGGGAATGGCTGAAGTAGACAAGTCAGGGGTACCCATTTCCTAATATGCACATGCTAGTGTGTGGTGGGATGCTGAGGTGGTGGTACTCCAACCTTACCAATGCTTGTGGCATGTGGCTTTGGGATTGTTTCAAGATGCAAGCCATTGAGGTGATGCCTGTCTTTCTTTTAAATAAATCCTTTGCCCCTTAAATCAGAAAAAAAAGAAAGAAAGAAAGAAAGAAAAGAAAAAGAAAGGGAAAAAAAGAAAAAAAGGCACAGTTGTTTCTAATTAAGTAGCTGGATGATAAACATTTGAATCAAGAGATATAGCCCTTGGGAAAAAATACATCAGAAAAATGGTCATTTAGCTCGATTACAGCTGAGATCTGAAACACAATAGAAAGGTTTTGGGGGGCCAGAACTGTAGCCAAATGGTATAGCACTTTCTAGCATACATGAAATGCTGGGTTCAATCCCTAGCAGCAAAAAGGAAATGGAGACAAAATTAAAGGTTTTTTTTTTGTTTTGATTTGTTTTGTTTTTTTGTTTTTTTATGTAACCCTTGGTCTACAGTAGCTAAATTTCATTAAATTTGTGGTCAGGGATATAGCTTTGTGGTAGAATAAATTAAGGTTCTAGGTTCAACCCCCAGCACCATAAAAATATGTATTCAATTTATGAATTGATTGCATATAGATTAAAGCAACCAAATCAAATGAGGACCATGGGAGGGAGGTAGCTGTATGGAGTTGAAGAGCTTCAAGCAAAAGTAATGGGACCAGTGAGATTGTGGGGGAAAGTTCTTGCGGCCAAGCCTGCCGTCCTGAGTTCAAACCCAGTTACAGATGC